CCCAGGAAACAGTGTGTGGAGCAAGAATCAAGACTTAGAGCTTTTATGAATTTGATTGTGGTATAAACTTGTATTTTTTTTAACTGACTCGGCGTAGAAGTTTATATAAATTTCTTTGGTCATTATAAAATCCAAAAGGTTCTTCAGGAAAACTTTCTGAGCTAGCTTCATGCCTCTTTCACAGTCCTACCTTTCCAGCTGATGGTGACAGAGCCTTTCTTGTCGCCAGCTCAGCAAAGTAGAACTGAGGGAAACAGTCCCATTGGGGCTGTCGGAAGCGGCACATTCTGAGCACAGGAGAAAACACGTGGGTCTGATAGTGACGTCTAATCCTGGCACTGGATTAGAACACGATTCCTTTTAGCTCCTCTAGATTAGGTAAGGAGAGAAATCCTAGGCTATTTGTGCATCTTGAGTTTTTTCTCCCCCTCACCATATTTTAGGGCTCTTTTTTTGTTGTTGTTAAACTTAAAGAGACGATGAAGTATCGGCCTTTCTTGAGACGCATCTCCCTCTTCACTAAGTAGTGTTTATTAAGTTTCTTCATGTCCCTGTCCTTTAGAAGTCTTTAGTCTGAATGATCGTTTCCTCAGTCGTGAACATCTCGATTATCTGTCCCAAATTGACAGCTTCCCACGGGCAGTGGAATTTTCAGCTGCCTTTTAGACTGTATTGCAAGAGATCGGCAGTGGGCGAACATGGTGTCGAAGGTGACTGAGGAGCCCTTGGGGATGTGCATGCGGACGCCACCGAGCCCAGCCGAGTTCTCACTTCAGGCTCCTAAATAAACTGCAACAGGACCCTCCTGCCTGTTCCAGGGTGGCCAGGTGGCACTTTGCTCCTTAGACAAGGCAGTCACAGACATGAAGACAGCTACTGAGGCTCAAGAAGGCACACGAACTCCTCCCTCCCTCCCATTATATTCTAGGAACATAAAATGTTTCCAGTAGAAACACTGAACTGAAGGCCAAGACAAATTCCCAAGTGGTACAGGCCTGAGATCTGAGTAAGGGGCTCTCTCTCAAACAGTGGGCTGCCTGCCCTCAGATACAGCCGCAACTGTGGGCTCTCCACCCTGAGTTTCTCCTCGCAGGCCTTGTGCCTTCTCCAGTTTTCTACCTGTCACCATTCTTTTCTCTTCTGGACTTGATGTCAGCATGCCCCGAGAACCTCTAGGCAAAGGTAGTGTGCAGATGTTCAGAACATGGAGATGTGAGACCCTGCCTTTTGTTTGTGACATTTCCTCTGTACCAGGCAGCTAACTGAATAGCTCTGGCACTAATGAGGTGAGGAGAAATAGCTCAGATCAGAGCTCCCAGCCACAGCCACAAGCACACTGTCGGGGTTTCACGGAGGGTGAGGTTGGAGATTGAGAGTGACTCCGTGCTCGGTGTCACCCGTAACCAATGACAAACCGTCCTCAGAGGCGGGGCATTAACTGCTGGCCGCATAGCGCCGCAGGCGGGGGCTGCAGAGCCCGGACTGCTGGAGTTCCCATTCTGGCCCTGCCTGCCCATTTGCTAGCTTTGTGATCTCAGGAAGGTTACGGAGCCCCTCTGTGCCTTAGTTTTCTTCTCTGTAAAATTGGAATGGTGATAATACCTGCTGCGTAGGATTGTGTGAGGGTAAATGAGTCAATAGACACGGCACACTTAGGATCATGGCTGGCACCTAGTATGTGCTCAATAAATGTTAGCTGTTACTACCAGGAGTGTTAAAATCATGATATAAGAGGGGAATGGAGACAGCGTCCCCTCTTTTGTGGGTGTCCACTCAGCAGTTTTAAAAGGAGCTCAGATGATTTCTGGTTCTATTTCGCCTTTTTCAATTCCCCCCTCTGTCTTTAAAACTGAGGCCCATGCTACAGCTCTAAGAAAAGCCCCTACTTCAGCTTTTAAATTTTTGATTCAGAATGACGACCTTTTGGCCTTGATAAGAGATTCGAATGAAGCAGGAGGCTCTAAGTCCCCACAGCTATCTCAACATTCATTTGTTCTGCGGCGCTGGGCTCCTGGACCCCTCCCAGCCCTGCCTGTCCGCACCTCCCAGTCTTCCTCACCCCTTTTCTGGAATCAGATGCTCCGGGTCGGGTTTGAGGACGGATGTGGTGTGTGGGGAAGACGTCTCCTAGCCCCATCGATTCCTTCGTGTCTCCTGCTGGGCCGGTGTCCCTCCAGCTGGCCCTCGGCTCATTCGGGCGTTTGGGTTAAAGCGGGCGGGGGTTGGACACACTCAGGTGGCCGGTGTGGGTGGCGGGCGTCTGCTGGCCGCCTCCCACCTCCTTTCCAGGTGAGCCCGCCGCCGCCTCCCCTGCGTTTCTTGAAATAATTCCCTGTGTTTCACCTGTTTTTCTAGGGGAAGAAGAAGAAGAGGAAAAGGGACAAGCAGCCCGGGGAGACCAACGGTAAGCCGGAGGGATGGGCGAGGGAGGCGCGGCGCGCCGAGGCCCACTCTTACCTTAGGCTTCGGGCGGGGGCGGGGGAGGCAGGAGCAGCTCAAGGCCAGGACATTGCGGGGAACCCATCTAGCCAGCCTTTTTGTTTATGCATTTTAATTAATTGCTTCGTGACTGCCCTTTTAAAGCTAGTAACATTTATTGTTGCATGAAAAGCACATTGTAATTCTAGTGGAATGTGTTTTGAAATAACTGTAGAGCCTGTAACTGGAGAGCGGTAGGCATGCCTGTGCGGGGTGTGTACAGTCTGCTGCTTCTGTGTGTGTCTGAGCAGGGCAGGAGGGGCTCGGGGAGCAGCAGGGGTGTGTGTGAGCGGTGGACGTTAACCGGGCTGTTCCTGAATGTTCCGATGCATGCCTTTACAGTGGTAAATTGCACCCGACTTAAATTAAGGAGGTTTGCCATTCGCTAGAGGAAATTAGAAATACTGCATAGGCAATCTCAGAGGTCCCGTGGAGAAGGCCAGGCTTTTACAAACAACAAAAACATTTTGAAGGCTTTGTATAATTTGTTCTTTTTTTTCAGAACACAGCGAATGTTTCCTAAATCCTTGCCTTTCACTTCCTCCGATTACAGGTGCTAATGTCATTTTGAGTCGTTAACATAGTTGCTAAACTGTTTTTTAATTTTTCTTGCCATTATAGTTTGATTAACATGAAACACGTATGACATTTGAACATTCTTTAAAATGACCATCTACTCGGTTTTATATGTTTCGGTAGAATATTATTTTTTTCAGTTGCTTTTGTTGTTTTATTTTTTTTAATTTAATTTAACTTTTGCTTTGTTTGTTTATTTTTCCCATAACAGTTGTTTAAGCAGTGATGACAGTGATCTAGAATTGAACTAACTGTGCAAATTGAATATGCAGTATTTCTTTAAAAGAGACTGGTTGGGAAAAAAAAAAAAAAAAATGGAAGGAATTCAGTAATAAACCTCCTTAATCTAATGGCATTTTTTTTTCATTGCTCCCACTAAGTTTTCTCACGCAAGCATGCATCCGCAGTATGATTATTTTTTCCTTTGCTTTTTTTTATTTTAGTTTTTTTTCTTCCTTTGCTTTCCTGCTCATGATTTGCAAGCCCACTAGCATTTTACTGACTGCACCTGCTTAAATGCTGCTATGAGCTTCTCACTAACCCTTCACAGCTCATTGACATCGCCTGTTTACCTTCATCTGTTCCTCTCTTAATATTAATGAGCGTAGATTTAAAAAGGAAAGACGGACATCCCAAAAGCTGCAATATCCCAGTTACCACAACCCTTTTCTTTCTTTATTTCTTTCTGTTTTGTTTCATTTTGTTCTGTTTTTATTTGTAGTGGTTTTCTTTTTTTAAACTGTTGTCCTCTGAGAAGAAAAAAGCATGTTACAAACTTAATTCCCTCCTTTGCTTTATTTTCTTCTTCAAGAAAAACAAATTGAGAGAAAAAAAGAAAAAAAAAGAAAGCAGAACCAAAAGTGGAAAAGTCTATTATTTAAAAGCTAGTTGTTCGGTATCCAACTTCCCTTTATCAGCTCGAACCGAATCTGAGACAGTCCTTAATGAAGGGATACTGCAGCTTTATTTGCAACAGCTAATTTCACAAGTTGAATAAGAATGTGATTTTTTTACCTTTTTTTTTTTT